CAGTAAGCCAGACCTGGGCCCAGTACACGCTGACCACACCACGGCCCTCAGGGCCTGGAGCCCTCAGAGACTTGGCAGTGGATTGTCACGAGACTTCACTGTCCAGAGCCTGGGAGCAATGTTCCCTCCAGCTGCAGATTTTTTTCCCATCCCTATGGAGGATAAGGAAGCACATGAGAGCAAAGGGAGGCAGATGCAGGACTGCCTCTAGCAGCATGAGCAGGACTTGAACTCGGACCCTCCCGCTCTGTGAGGTGGACCCCTGCTGCTGTCAGGGCTCTTAGCCCGCTCCCCTCATGCTGTATGGCAGGGGTGGGGAACCTCAGGCCTGGGGGGGGGGCGGATGTGGCCCCCGGTTTGCCTGGATCCAGCCCCCCCAAAGCTTAAGACGCCCCGCCAGCATTGGGAAGCCTGGGCTGATGCTCCAGCGCCCCCTGCTGCCCCATCATGGGGCGGAAGTGCAGAAAAATCTATGAGCCTGGTGTGGGAGGAGAATGTGGGGGGGTGGGGCTTGGGGTCTTTTCCTTTTGCTTCTCACATGTGTGGGCCCCCCAATTGATTTTTCTGTGGGTCAGCAACCCCCAACCCAAAAATGTTCCCCACTCCTGCTGTATGGGGGCTCGGCCACCACTAGAGGTGCCACACGAGCGGATATGGGTGCCACATACACCAGCGGCTCATGGAGAAGGGCGGCTACAGCAAGCGGCCAAGAACTCCCAGTGACCCACAGCCCAGCCAGCCTTCTTCAGCCAGACCCACAAGTCACCCAAGGCGGGACCTGCCCTGACGTGGCAGATGGAGATGCCAAGGAGGAAGCTGTTCTCTAATCTTTGGCCACAAGGGGGCAGACAGGCCCTGTGGGGTGTAAACTTCCCAGCACCCTGTCCCCATCCCCTACCCCTCCAGCCGCCCTGCACACTCATTAGCCTGATCCCTGCCGCCTCCAATGGGGCAAACACCAGGAACAGGCTGGCACCGCAGCATGGGTTCAGGCTCCAGACTGCAAATAGGGTTGCCAGGTGTCCGGTTTTGAACCGGACAGTCCAGTATTTGAGCTTTCTGTCCGGGAAACAAATTGGGAAAATACCAGACACATAAATGTCCAGTATTTTGTAATTAAGTAAGTTGCATTGTTATCATGAGTATCAGTATGTAGCTGCGTACTGCATGAGCGTGTTTACCAGCCAGGCAGTACGCAGCTACGCAGTAGAGAGGAGGGGGGCGAGGGTGGGGCCGGAGTGGGATGGAATCCCCGGGGCTGGACTCGCCCGTGCGCCCCCCGGGACCGTGCATGGGATGGGCAGCACCCCAGGATGTGTGCGTTCGGGTCAGCCCCACTCCACACCAGCTGGTTCCCCCCCAGCCAGCCCCGCTATCCCCAACCTCCTCCTGGCCCACCCTGCTTCCTGCTGGCTGGTTTCTTCCCCCAATCTCCCCCGGCCAGCCCCGCTCACCCTGACCCCCCTCCCTGCCAGCCAGTTCCCCACCGGTCAGCTCCGCTCCCCCCGACCCCTTCCCGGCCAGTCCCCTCCCCCCCACTCCTGTTCTGAGATCAAGTGTGTCTGGGTATTTTTTTGAAAGCCTCCAGTGGGAGTTAGGCACCTGCATCCTGTGAGGAATCCTGGGCCCCAAAGGTTGGGGGTTTGCAGTTAGGGTTAACAGATGGCTAAGCCAGCTTTGCGCCCCAGGAACGGCACCGCGGGCCATTGGTGGGATACTGGGACTACCTTCCCATGCTGCCCGCTGGGATCTCCCACCTGCACAGGGGAGAACAGATGCCGAATGTCGAAGACCACAGGGTTATCGTCCCTCCCCAGCTGCACTGCTCCCTCTCCACAGGTTTGCTGTGATGAGGCTGAGAGTGTCAGTGTGCAGCCCCGGCTGGCCAGGGAATGCTGTGGTTCGGACCAGGAAAAAAACATCAGTTGCTTACGCTCCACCTGGCAGCGTGAACTAGTGGACAGAGCAACGGCCAGCTGCTGGGTGCTCTTGGGCAAATCACTTCCCTGCTCCCTGCCTCAGTTTCCCTATCTGTACCATGGGGAC